TGAGCGATACAAGCATTATTTCAAACAAATGGTTTGTCAGACAACTTACTAATTGTGTCTTAACAGAATGATGGTGAGGCTGAGGATAAATCAATGGACGAAAATGAATTGCTGCCTTAAGTTCGATCCCCGTATACATATATAACAACGACAACAACAAACACTTTCCTGGTCGAATAGATGCAGACCCCAACCCAACCCCAGATGTGTCAACAACTCAGGCTCAAAACAAGTTGTACCAAATATATGTGCCTAATATGACCTACGAAATTAACTCTCGATCAGATTTGGCTCCCACAGATCAATGCTTATCACACTTTGGAAATCACGTTAAATTTTCATCCCAGAGTTAAAAACTATTCCGCGTACTTCATTCGACGAACATTTACCATTAATTCACATTTCTCATTACTGTCGGTTAGCTTCGCAACAATCACCGCGTAGCTGCATATAGCGATCACAATTTGGAGCATCATACAGTCAGCAGTTTTTGAACAAATGCGATAGAATCGATAAGAATCAATGAAAGAAAGGGTGAACTAAAAGGAAACCATAAATAGTCGATGATACCCATATGATATAGAATGGGCCAATTCGATAGGGATACCAATTCAATGTGGCCACACACTCAAGCTATTACTTGGCAACCGTATAGCTCTGACCAAAAGGGTTCAACTCGATTAATGATGATTCGTGGGTTGAGACTGGGCAGGAACACTAGAAGTACAATCAATTATTGATGAAATGCAGCAACCCGTAATAATAGCTTATTGCTCTCTAATGGATTTTTAAATAAATGACATAGATTGAATCAATCACAATCACAATGGGAGGAATAAATTATACTCATCTTCAAATACAGAGAGATGGGAGATTCGAGAGCTCAGCAGACACTACTGGAAACTAATTGACGCGAGAAACTCAAACGAAGCCGAAGAAGCCACGGGAGGAGGTTGTGGTAAGCAGCAAGCTAAGGAATGAAGTCGATAAAACATGATTACGGCAGGATTATTTGTCTACTAATGAATATGGTGACCACCAGGAGACAGCAGGAATGGTGAACTGCACTCGTACGGATTCGTTCGCCTCAGTGCCACAGCCACTTCGGTGAGAACTCATATGGTTTGCCACTCCAAGTTCCGGCGCTTTCACTGAGTAAAAAATATCGTCGTAAGTATACGGTTTACCCTGTCTGCTTTTCATCACACAAAATTAAAAACAACACCGAACGCCCGACTATATTGACCACATTAGGATCACACGAATACATCTCACGACTAAAGCATACGTGAACACAAAGATCGGATTGAGTTGACACCGTTGACCAAAATACAATGGTTAATTTGGGCCACTTTTCAAATATATCAGAGTTAAAACCGAAATTCAGTAGATTTTGTTGAGGAAAGAACAGTCATCTGTGACGAATTCAAAGCGTAGATGAAGTGATTGTTTGACTGGTACATAAATGGTCGGTTTTATAGCGCGCGCATGCGAGAGAGAGAGAGAGCAGCAGGCGTTCATCCGTGACGGAAGCTTCTATCGCAAACAGACTAAGTGAATTGCCCACCTAATTCAAAAGATTCAATGCGCATAAGCGCTTTTTAGATTGCACCTTTCAACCCCTTCACCCTTAGAGCCACCAGTTAACGAAATGTAACTTTTGAACGGTAATCAACATGTGCCACAAAACCACGTTTCGTTTATTGTATTTTGGCAAAAAAGAACCATTGCTCACCTTCTAGTCAGATCTGGTTAAACATTCCGAAAGTCGAGGTTCTCATAGCAGTCGCTTTAAACAGAGATGAGGTTCTATGTGAAAAGATATTTGGCTTGTTCACGCCCTCCCCCCCCCACACACACACAAACGTCTGTGAACAACTGCAGGAAGTGACTAAATATCAGCCTTTCGTTGCTCAATTATTTTCTCCACCTTCTCTGTATCCATTTAACATGTGTATATAATAACAGAAATAAAGCTTTTGTACTTCCTTTTTTCTATTTTGAGTATTCAAATCTAGAGTCCACTTTCGGGAGTGGGGCTGCCTCGGGTGATCACATAAATGGGAAAGATGTGAGGCGGTGGAGCGGTTTGAACTCCGAACTTTCGAGTAGTTATTTTGATGACCCTAATCGCTTGATCACTGGCGTCTACCGGGTTCGAATGAGAATAGCGCATGCAAATGGTTTTGGTTTGTCTGAATTCAAGTTTCGCTCAAGCGGCCACTATGTACTGAGTGTTTCCATGTCCCGAATACGTTAATCATTATTATGCGGCGGAGAGATAGGGGTTTTAGATGACTCGAAATTGGTCATAAAATATTCTCTCTGGGTGTCTGTAATACAAATCTCGTGTCGCTAGTTCAACTTGTGTGGGAATGTATGTACTTTAACTTGGAACTAGCCAGTGTTCACTACCAATGCCATACATCTGCTCACAATTCAGGATTCCGGTACTGGGACA